GGTTTTTCGAGACAGGGTTTCTCTGTGTAGTTTTGCGCCTTTCCTGGAGCTCACTTGGTAGCCCAGGCTGGCCTCGAACTCACAGCGATCCGCCTTGGCTCTGCCTCCCGAGTGCTGGGATTAAAGGCGTGCGCCACCACCGCCCGGCAAGTCCTAATTTTTTTAGTTTCATTTTGTTTCAGAAGGTTTGTATTCATTTATTTTAAGATGTGGTCTTGCTATGAAGCCTGGGCTGCTGACCTGAAACTTGGGATCCTCCTGCCTCAGACTTTTTGGGTGTTGGGATTCCACCACCACACCCAGCCTAGTCAGGCTCTCTTGAATTGCCATTTTTTCAATCATCCTACACAATTTGTCCCAGGTATCCTCTACTAACTAATTCAGGCGAAAGAAGGCTTCAATAACCTTAAAAAAGAAGTTGTTCTAAAGCTCTGCAAAAAATAAATAAATAAATTTAAAAGTCTCATAAAACAATGACTGTCATTATTAACTCTGAGCAATAGTAATCTCACTATAGTGACTCTGAGTAACTATCCCAAAGTGCCTTTCTGTTGTAATAAAACCATGTCCCAGCTAAATCAAAACAAACACACTTTATTACATTTTAAGTTCAAACAATATTTTAAATTCCTAGCATATTAAGTCTCTGGATGGCCAAATATGAAGTTTATTATTTGTGTTTCCAGTCTTGCTCGAATACTGGAGTGTTTTTGTTAATGAATTTGCAGTTAGTTAACCCTAACATGGGAATCTTTGGTCTCAACTGAGGGTTCTTTCTAGATTTGCACAGTCAGGAGGTGGGGTGTTATCTTCGGTCCCTCTTGAGTTGGTTTCTTAATGAAAACACCTCAGTCGTAACTCTCTTAACTTGGTCTAGATTCAAGGCTTTATATCTGAATTTCAAGGCTAATATTAGTGTGTGCCTCTTGAGTAAATCTGGCTTTCATATTTACCTACCTCGATCTTGTCTGGTTTCATACCACAGAGAAGCAAAGAGATAGAAAATATGAGAGAGGTTAAGAAACATAGACATAGAGACCAGAGCAGACAACTGGTCTCATACACCACTGACTCAAGTCTGAAGAAGAAGAGGGGTGAACCAAAGCAATTTAAAGATAATGCTGAGAATGTTCTAGAACTGATGAATGACACAAATGTCCTGATTTCAGGAGTCAAACAAGATAAATCCATAACTAGAAACATATGCTAAAACTGTCACTCACCAAAGAAAAGTGAAGTGACATTAAGCTAAAAATTAAAGAAAAAACTAGTCATATAAATAGGAACTAATGATTGGAATGAGAAGACTTAACAATAGTAATAGAAATAAAACATAAATGTTACTGTCAACCACAGACACTAGCTGATATCCCAGAATATATATAGTAAGTGTCTTATAAGAAGGGGGATGATAAAAAGATTTCAAATGAAAATTTAAAAAGCAATAGCTGCACACACACAGGCCCTTACTGTAAAGAAAAGTTTAAAGGTAAACACCGGCAGACAGACTCAGATTAAAGAAAGAACTATGCTGCAATGGGAAACAAAGCACAAGGAAAGACTTGAGCAAACCCACCCCCCGTGTATAAAGCGCAGGATGGTACTATGGAAGCTAATGGCCACTACCACAGGAAGTGTCTTCAAATACGTCCTTGAGTTTGTGGGAAGGAAGGCTAAGAAAAGTGGTTTAACTTAGACTTGAGCTTTGCAGAGTGAAACATGTAAGGTGGCCACTAACAGAATATCAACAAAGCATATATAATTTAGAAATTACTATAGAAGAAAACAGACTTAAATTTCATCCAAATTTCTAAAACATGATGAGAGAAAAACCCCACATGGATAACTTTTTATTTTTTTTTTTAAATAACAACAATCATAGAAGCCGGGCATGGTGGCACAGGCTTTAATCCCATCACTTGGCAGGCAGAAGCTGGCAGATCTCTAAGTTCCAGGCCAGCCTGATCTACATATTGAGTTCCAGGTCAGCCAAGGCTCCACAGTGAGACCTTGTCTCAAAAAACCAACTAAAGCACATTGAGACAGAAGGTGGCCAATAACAAAACATCCATAAAGAGCTGTTTCATCATCTGGAGCCAAGATGGGACTGAGCACTAAGGTATTTGCCTGAAATCTAACACTAGAGGTGGAGGCAGGAGGATCAGGAGTTCAAGGCTAGCCTAGGCTACAGAAGACCCCCTCCAAACTACTGTGCACCCCCCCCCACACACACACAAGAAAAAGCCAAGGTAGACAGGGAAAAAAATTACATCCCAGCCATGTTAGGTACAATAAATACACAAACATTAAGGATATCAAAATGTTGAAAGTAAAAGTATAAAAAGAAAAATTCTCAAATATTAACTGAAAGGATGCTGGTATAGTTTTATTAAGTAGACAAACCAGACTTCACAGCAAAAGTTATTCTTAAAGACGAAAGAAAAAAAAATCCCTGGGAAGGGATAAAATCCAGTTAGTTAGAGTAACATCAAAAAATGACAAGCTCTTAGGAATTTCAGCAACTACCCTCCAAATATATAAAGCAAACACAGGTAGGTCGACAGAGAGAAACTGATGGACAATACAACAGAGGAGGTTCAGCACACTACCTCCCATCAGAAGAGTTCACCATCCACTGCCAAAAGTTACCCGACAAGAGCAACCAAGAGGAGGGCAAGCACCACAGCCATCGACATGGACAGCAGGGGTGCTGAGTCCACAGTGACAGAGCAGGACTGGCACACGGGGGTTTCACATGCATGTGTGTTGTATGTGTGTGAGTGCACACACGCGCCACTGCACCCATGTGGGGGTCAGAGGACAGCTTGCCGGAGCTGGTCCTCTCCCTCCACCGTGCCAACGAACCCCGGGGATCAAATTCAAGTCCTCGAGCTTGGGAGCCTTGCCCACTGAGCCCCTTCACCAGCCCCCAGTACACACACTCATTAAGTGTGGAGCACTTAAGTGTGGCAATGGGGCTGGTTGGGGGGACACAGACCTCAAACCCCAGAGCTCAGCAGGGAGGGGTGGGCAGTCATGCAGACCCGGGCCACGAGGACTGGTGGGACAGAGGAAATTCCAACTGAGAGGGAACACTCAGTTAATGGTACCAAAACCAGGCAAGGCAGGTCAGGGAGGGGAAAGGTGATTGTCAACCCCACTCATCTGCACAGACGGAAAAATTCCAAACACAACACAGGAAAGCAGGTCCACTACATATCAAAAGACAACAAAGAGAAACTGAGTATGACATGCCGCAACATGATAAACTGTGCAAACACTAAGTGTAAGATGCTAGACAAAAGACTCCCCCTAGGCACTGTGTAACAGGATCCGGAAGAGGAAAACCCTAGACAGAAAGCAGGAGGGGCTGCCAAAGGAGAAGGGACTGCTGGGGTACATTTCTTTGTGAGAAAAAAAAAAAAGTTTCGAAATTAGACAGTGGTGATGGCCATACAACACTGTGAACATATTAAAGTCAGACTGTCCTAGTTAGAATTCAAATTATTACAAAGAAACTATTCTGAAATTGAGTTAAATCTTCTAAAAGAATACACATCATAAAGGAAAAACAATGAATGCTCGTCTTTTTGTTTGTTTGGTTGGTTGGTTGGTTTGGTTTGCTTTTTCAAGACAGGGTTTCTCTGTGTAGCCCTGACAGTCCTGGATCTCACTCTACAGATCAGGCTGGCCTTGAACTCACAGAGATCCGCCCGCCTCTGCCTCCCAAGTGCTGGGATTAAAGGCGTGTGCCACCACCGCCTGGCCTGAATGTTCATCTCTTAAATAAAATTTTTGTAATTCAAGACAAGCAACCAAACAAAGGGCAGGGGCAGGAGAGAAATAACTGCGACCTTTCCCTCCCATTTTCCAGTGTTCTAGAAGCCCCAGCACATGGCTGACATGTGCCAACTCCCAGGCGCTGTCCTAGCTTTAGATACTAACATATTATACAAGGAAATACACAGCCGACCACTGGAGATTTCTCAGCCATGTATTATGAATCTCCCGACTTATCATCAAAGTAGGGATAAGGACCCACAAGCTGACTCAGTGGGCACAGGCTTGCTTGAAGGCCTGAGGATATGAGTTTAACCCCTGGACAGAAGAGAACTGACTCCAAAGTTCTCCTCTGACCTTCTCACACCTGACATGACATGAGTGCCTGTACTCATTCATACATACATACACACGCGCACACACAAATAAACATTTTTAAAATAATGATTTTTAAATGAGATAAAACATACACAACATAAAATGTTACCAATTTTCAAATGGACAAGTCAAAACCTAATCAGTTTTGCTTCACTCAATCATTTATAAAGGAAAAAAAATCTAGATAAACTTTTAATCACTTCTGTGGAATAAAAAGCTATGTCAGAAAACCTTCCAGTTTTACCTTGCAAGTTCCTTTGGTTTGAACTTCCACCATGTGTCTGGTTCCCGGAAAAGGACCTTATATTTATGCTTCTGAGACTACATAAAGAAAAGACAAAAGAACAATGTGAATAATTTTTCCATGAAATTAAATGCAATGTTTGCAAATACTATCACATTAGAAATGAAAGCCCCTCATAGGTGACCTGGTCAGCAGATAAAGAATCTATCTGCTGGGGATGGAGAGATGGCTCAGTGGTTAGGAGCACTGGCTGCTCTTCCAAAGGACCCGAGTTCAATTCCCAGCACCCCCATGGCAGTTCACTCCTGGGGATCTAGTATCCGTGCACAGACATACATACAGGCAAACCCCCCGTGTATATAAAAAGTAAATAAAACTTTAAAAACAATCTCTCTGCTCTCTTAGAGAGTTGGCAAGGATTATTGGGAGGGTGCTAACACTGCTGTTTGGGGGGTGTTTGTTTTGAGATAAAGTCTCAAGGAGCCTGGCCTGGCCTTGATGCTGTGGGACGGTCTGTATGTCAAATTGCTCTGAATGGTCAAAAAATAAAACACTGATTGGCCAGTGGCCAGGCAGGAAGTAGATGGGACAAGGAGAGAGGAGAATTCTGGGAAGCGGAAGGCTGAGGCGGAGAGACACTGCAGCCGCCGCCATG